CAGGACTGGCCGATCAGAGGCGGGGCTTAAGGGAAACTCAAGTGTGCATGCTTCATGATCACAAGGCAAAAGATGATTGGGGCCCCGCCTCCAACGCTGCATCCAGTTTTCTTTAAACATCCATGTCCTCATCCCAAAGCATTTCCTTGTGGTATTATTGTGAATGCCGCTGACAGTCCAAACATATTTTCTATCGATGACAAATAACTGATGATTGTGACAGTGTAAGACGAATACAGAGTTGACAGTCTTGATTTAAACTGTACATGGGAATCTACTTGTTATCAGTAAAATACCTTCATATGTATAGGTATAACTCAAGCTCTATCCACTTCCTTTGTGGGCTGTAAATAGGCCTTCACTTTCCCAAGGACCATACCGAATTGTAGATTGAGAGCCAGACAAATAGGGAACACTTTAAACACTTTGTAATGATGAGTTATAGCAAAAAAGAGTTGTCTTTTACCACTTCTAAAAAGTGTTTGGTAGCGGTCTGTCATCCACTTATATGATCCCCTCATATCTCAGCTAGTGTTTTTTCTCTGCCTCACAATGAGCTCTCATATCAAGTTTCTGTTCTTGTCCTGTCCAAACATTTGCTTAGCAGTGTGATGGGTGTTTTAAACTTCCCTTATTTGTCTACCTGTTTCACACATGGGAGCGGTAATTTGAATCGTGTTGCTGTGATTCTTCGGAGGCGGCAGGGGGTTCTGGTTCAACATCCTGTAGAGTTATATTTGTATTTATTCATGTTAGCAAACTATGGATAAGCTTAAAATGGGAATAATTTGGGTGGAACTGTGAGCTGGATTTGGGGCCTGTTTGACATATGTTTTTGAGGACAAAGGAAGATGGGGGAAGGTGAGAGCATGTCTTGAGTTGCATTCAATTTAGATCTAGCTACAGTGATTGGGGAAGCCTAAGGTCTAAGGTGTCTGTGATATTTGGGGCGGCCAATCAATGATGTCCGAATGGGAGGATCTGATAACTCCTCCCATTGTCACAGAGTAGAAACACAGAAACACACGCGGTGTTCAGCCTCTTTCCTCTGGCTGGCTCACGTGCAGGTAAATTCGGGATCCCAAAGATTAACTGTATTGAATTTGTACTGTATTGATTGTATTGTTTTGTCATATTACCATTAAAGTAGATATTGTTTACTTGGTGGCACTGGATTTCTTCCTGTATTATAACCAGCTTCATAGGAACGCGCGGAGATTTGAAAAGCGGATCAGATATCCCTTTAAATCTCTAACAAAGTGGTGACCCCGACGTCTAGATATAACGAAGCTGAGGAAGAATCCAGACGACCGGAATGGGTCGAGAACAAACGCTTTCAAACTTCTCAGACAATCAGCAGGGCCCTGCACAACTCTACACAAAGGTACAGACGCCTGTTATGAAATTCGACTGTCTGGAATTGGATACACTAAAACTTTAGGATTGTCTGTAGGTGTTTCACAGTGTTTTTATAGTTTAAATGGAATATACAATGCATATTTTACTATGTTAGGAAAGTTATATACAAAACACAAACGTTGATCGACAGGTAGACCAAAAGTCCTGCGTAACGAAAATAGAGCAGTTTGGCGCGGATCTGCAGGTAGATTATTCCTGAGTGGCGTAGAGACGGGGCAGTTTGTGGGTGCGAGGTTTGACTCCTGCACGACAAAACCTGAAAACTCGATATATCAGATCGGGTCGCCGTCTAAAACTGGGGTAAATAACAGACTAAGGCTGAAAGCTAAAAGCCAGAGTTCTGTTATATACCAATCGAGGGAGAGAACGCGAACCTCACAAAAAATTGTGACGGGACCGTCTCTCGTTTTCCCTTGGTCTGTAAACTTAATTTGAAAAGCTAAACGTGTGATAAAGGGCTTTTCACGACCTGGGAGTTCCCCATGGAATGGTCACATTCTTTCAGAGTGTCGAAGCATCATTCGGGTCCACTAGCCTGTTGAAATAAACATCACATTATAAAAGCTGGACAAACTGTACGGGGAATAAATCTGTGTGATTTTTCAATTGTCTCCGGGGATAAAAGAGGCACTCAGAAGAGTGAAGCTCATTTGTGGTCTGCTGCTGCCATCTAGTGGCTGAAAGGGGGTAACACACCCTTGACATTTGTATATATTTTAGCTTCAAACTTAGAGTTTCATCATTACATTGCTGGCCGGTATTGAAGACGGGAAGCACGTTAATAATAACAACGACAATAGCCCAGTATATGAATACAAGTGAACACATATTAATTAAGTCGGATAAATAAAAGCGAAGTGAATATGGAACGACAGAATGGTAAGGACTATTCTGAAATTCCAGGGAGTTACCGGGAGCAATGGGAACAGATTAAGAGATTGATTTTAAGTGGAATCAAACAGGGGGCTAAAGAAAAGGCTTGTACGGATCTCCGATTCCTACACGATACAATGATAACAGAGAATAAAGTGGGGGATGACGACACCGTAGGTAATTTGGGCACAGCATTGAATTTATATGAAAGACAGATTGTAAAGCAACTTGCACACCTAAACGAACAGAAGCCCAGATGGTTTGCCCGTAGCAAATGGAACAAGCAACAACAGGCACTAGATAGATTGAGGAGGGTTTGTCACAATGCTGCCCTCGTAATGATTGGAATTAATATTCCTCCCGTCACAGACCAAAATCTCCCGGGTGCAATGGCAATCCAAAGCCCCATAAAAACAGATGAAGTTAAGACTCTTCTGTTCCCTCATGGTATTAAAGACACAGAGGTGCCTACACATGGAGACATTCTGGACTATGTAGCAGAACGAGTCGAATATTTTAAAAGAATGCAAAATAATGTTGTCTCTAACTCAGAGCAGAAATCTCTAACTACGCCCATACAAAATCCGGCTATTCCCACCCGCTCCTCTCTCCTTTACCCGGATTTAGGTAGTCTGACTACACAGCCCCCTCCCCCTTATACTCTACCCGACGACAGCGCAAATAAATTGCAAATGATGGTGGCAGATGCATCGGACACAGAAGGAGAGGAGGCGGCCATGAGCGTAGGGAACTATAGGATGGTGGGAACAGTAGCGTTGAGTCCGTTAAGGGGCGTCCCTACTCCAAAGAAAAGACTAAATGTTAAACAAAAACAGGTTTCCTCCCCGTTAGACAGACTAGACAGCGCACACACCACGCGGAGGCCTAGTTTTAACACAGACCAGGAGGGGGTTTCCCCGAGCAGGGACAGTCGACCACTTGATAAGGAGCTCACCTCAGAAAAATTGACTTCCCTTCTGACAAATCTTACAGAGAGCCACTCAGGCGCTACACAGGCAGACACAACATACACAACTGACCTCCTAGATGAGAGGGAAATACGAGAAAGGCGGTGCTATGAACAACAGATTCAAGATAGACGCAAGGAGGAAGACAGGAGACAGGAACAGAGCGGATATGAGGGCTCGCTAGAAGATATAGAGAAGGGGGAGAGATGTGATCCTTTTCAGAACAGATCACGCCAAACGTATACGTCTAATTACCCAGGTGTTGAGGGGGGGGCATCGGGCCATGAAAGTGGGGAAGAGACGGCGAACCACAGAAGTGATAGAAAGATAGCGGGCCATAAAAGGGATAGGGAAACAGCAAGCCATGAAACTGGGGGGTTTTACAATGGAGCAGGAGGCCAGGGTCGTAAAGACAGCTCTCAGGAAGAGGAAGACAGCAGGAGGGCGAGGTGCAAAGTTAAGCAGATATCTCTGACAGGAACAATAAGTGAACTAGTGGAAGTAGATCAGGTTCTTTCAATGCCCCGTAACAGATTAAGGTCTCACCACACCGCAGAAGACCCCACCAAGCATGCTTTTATGTATCCAGTATTACAGGCGCCTTTAGTGGCCGCGCAAAACGGGAAGACGGCTTATCATCCTTTCACACTAGGGGACATACATGCGCTGATCGATAAAATGCCGTTGCCTACTGAGGGAGGGAGACATTGGATGCGAAGGTTTGCGGACATGGCTGTAGGACAGACTATCTGTCTGGGAGATTTCAGGAGAATACTAGCACAACAGACTTCCTATTATGAGGTAGAAAGAGTTGAGGATAGATCAGGAACATCGACAATGAAAGATGACGTGCCTATTTCCTTTAACGATGTTCACAGCAAGCTGGGCAAAGCAATGAGAGAGCATTTCCCACAGACAGGGGGAGGTTACGGATCACTGTCATTTACATTTACACCTGGAGAGGCTGCAGCAACCATGTTGCTCAGGGCACGCCAACAATACACAATGGCAACTGACTACAGTCCAGATAATAATGACCAACATATACAGATGTTCCGTAAAGCAGTGCTTGCGGCAGTGCCGAAAGAAATTAAAAGTCTGATGGAGGACAATCCAGAGGTAGATCAGTTAAACACACAGACGTGGGAACGTCATTTAGCCCATCATTTAAGTAAATTCAACAAACAACATACAGAGGTTAAAACTGAGGAAGAGGAGTTGAAGGTGCAGTTACTGCGAACGCAGCTGGAAATAGCCCGGAAAACAGTTCAGAATGACAAAAAGAATGCCAAACAGTTGATTGTTCACCCAGTAGCGCCGGCCGCGCAGCCACAGGGGCAGCAAAACCCAAAAGGGGGCCTTTCCAACCAGGGTCCGCCCTATAGTCAGCCCCAATTTGGCTACAATAATAGCTCTTGGCAACAGAGGGGCGGGTTCAGAGGAGGGGTCAGAGGTCGAGGTGGCTTTGGGATGACTCCTAGATTGGAATACGTGAAGGTGTGTTTCATTTGCGGACAGCCAGATCACTGGTTCAAGCAGTGCCCACATGGAGCCCCACCTGGAAGGGGGCGGGCTAAAGGGGGGAACGGATCGGAGAAACCATATATCCAGACACCCCAGGAGGCTGTCCCATTGCCGCAACAACCGAACCAGGGTCACATTGCCCCTAATGCTATGGCCGCCCCCTATGGCCAGTTTGTCCTGTATGAGGGGGAATACTACGAAGAATGAAGACGCCCAGGGAACCCTGGATGTACGGGCCTGGCGGATCCATACATTAATATGACTGTTAAAGACTCAAACCTACCATTCCTTGTTGATTCAGGAGCAAGATATTCCACCATCAATTCTCCCGTCTTCAAGGCGTCCAAAACATCTACAACAGTCTCAGTCATAGGGTTTTCGGGAAAAATAGAAATAATACCGCTTTCCACGCTGTTATCCACCAAGATAGCAGGACAGACATTCTTACACCAGTATATTCTTGCACCAAAAAGCCCGGCTAACCTCATGGGTAGGGATATTCTGATCAAAGCGAATGCCTCCATCCTCTGTTCCCCGGATGGACTGATAATATCATTCCCAAATGGCACAACCATCAATTGTTCGTCTTCTACCATAACATCAGGTTCTCAGATGATGTTGGCCCAGTCCACTGAGGCAGAAGCAACCCAACATGCCACTATATTCTGGGGACTGTTGGACCGACCTCGGGACAACACACCTGGACTGTATTCCATTTTTCAACAATGGAAGCCATGGATTAACCTCCTCAGGCCTTATGGCCCCCCTCCAGACCCCCCCCACCTGACGCTGAATTATGATAGAAAAGACGACCTAAGTTATGAATATGAGTATGATAATGAGGTGTCTATGGCCGTGTGGGACGTTACCACGACAAATCTCTTTGTGGGACAGGCGGGTGTGGCTGCGTCGGTTGAGCTCTCTGATGAACAACTGTACTGGTACCGTTTGTCTGCTGAGTCCACACCACACATTACATTAGCTATCAAAAAGAGTTATGAAGCTAAAGAACTTGGTCCCATGGTAAAGACGCTGCTAGAAGTCGAAGATTGGGAACCTACGCAGATCGCAGCACTGACATACTCTCCCTCACACAGAGCGTATCGTCTTAAAATCTACACACAAGAATGCATCCACATGGAAAGACACGAAGTAGATAGACATCATGGTAGGGAAAAAACTGACCATGCATATACAGTTGACATGTTGCGTGATCTCCCGTCTGACCTGTGGGCGTCGCACTCTCATGATGTAGGTTTCTGCTTAAAAGCCACACCAGTAACATTTGAGGTGAGCAGCTCTGTGCCTGTGAGCCGGTCACAATACCCGATCAAGCCACAGGCAAAAGGGGGTGTTGACAAGGCAGTTGAGGGACTGAAGAAAGCAGGGGTGTTAGAACCCTCACAAAGCCTTTGGAATACTCCCATACTTCCTGTATCAAAATCTAGCGGGGAGTACAGAATGGCTCATGATTTGAGAACCATTAATGCTATTACGACTACAGCTCTGATACCAGTTCCTAACCCCTACACGGCTATCTGTAATGTCTCACCTGAACATACATGGTTCACCTGTATTGACCTAGCCAACGCTTTCTTCTGCATACCTCTGGCAGAGAGTATGAGACCTATTTTTTCTTTTACAATAGGAGGGGAGAAACTACAATACACAAGACTACCACAAGGCTTCAGTTTGTCTCCAGGAATATTCAACAAAGTGCTCAGGGAACAGCTAGAGGGCGTTACATTGCCAGTGGGAGTAGTATTAATACAGTATGTAGACGACCTTCTCATCGCAGCACCTTCTGCAGCCTCTTGTTTGGAGGCCACCAGACACCTACTGGTGCGCCTCCACACATCAGGGTTCAAAGTCTCCAAGAAAAAGCTACAATGCACCCGTAAAGAGGTGACATTTTTGGGCAGAGTGATTTCCCCAGCAGGCACGGGCATGTCAGCAGCGCATCAGGAACACATTTTGAACCACCCGAAACCCAAGACAGTCAAAGACATGTTGTCTTTTTTGGGCCTCACAGGCTACAGCAGACACTACATCCCAGAGTATAACCCAAGAACAGCTGAACTCAGAAAACTCATCAACGAGAAAGGCATGCGCAATCTCACTGCCACACTAGACTGGACACAAGCGGCAGAAGCTGCGTTCATTTCTCTCAAACAATCCATGTCCCAAGTCACGGCTCTCGCCGCTGCATCCTATGCATTACCATTCTTTCTTGATGTTTCTGAAAATGAAGACACAGTAAATGGGATTCTTTTTCAGAAAAAGGGGGGTTGTAGGACAATATTGATGTATGTCAGTGTTACACTGGACAGAGTGGAAAACAGAGAACCTCCCTGCATGAGACACGCGGCAGGTACAGCACGTATCTTAAACAAGATTTCACACATTGTGATGGGCCATCCTTTGACAGTACTGACAACACACAGCATTGTCTCTTTTGTGAACTCAAGTGCATTCACAATGACTTCAACGAGACAAACAAGGCTGGAGAAAACTCTGACAAAGGCACACATCACATACACACACGAAGGAGTTAACAGCGCAGACACCATAGGTAGCGGAGAGCCCCATAGGTGTGAGGAAAGAATCATTCAAGATGTGAAGCTAAGAATAGATCTCAGAGACGAGCCCATCCCACAGGCAGAAAACCTGTTCACAGACGGCTGTTGTTTTAGACACCCCCAAAACGGCCTCCAAGCAGCCTATGCCGTGGTAAAACAAAAACCTGAGGGAAACTTTGAGGAAGTATCAGCTGGGGAAGTAACAGGGAAAGTATCAGCACAGTTGGCAGAAGTAATGGGAGTCATTGCAGCATTAGAGCTATCAAAAGGAAAGGATGTAAACATCTACACTGATTCAGCATATGTCCACGGCGTAATTCACGTGGAAATGCGACAATGGTTGAGAGCAGGATTTGTAACGTCCACAAATACCCCCATCAAACATGAGAAAGAGATCAGAAGGCTTGCAGAAGCAGTAATGTTGCCCAACAAGTTAGCTTTACTTAAGTGTAAAGGTCACAACGCAGAAAACAACTACTTGGCTTGGGGTAACAATGCAGCGGACAAAGCAGCTAAAGAGAAGGCAGGATATACACCATGGTATCAAATGCTTGTCTTAAAATCCGCTGACTTGCTGCCCGCAATAACAGATGAGACGCTTAAAGAAGCTCAAGAAGCGGGGTCTCCTCAAGACAAAAAACTATGGTCAAACCGGGGAGCTACCAACAAAGAGGGGATATGGTACTCCCCAGATGGGAGACCGGTTATACCCCCAGAGTGGATAAGATCCATGCTTAAAGAAGCACACGGCCCAACGCATTGTGGTAAAACTCAGATGAACAGGCACCTGACCCACTGGTGGCACCCATACCTACCAGACATGATAGCAAATCACCTAGAAGAGTGTGTAATTTGCTTAACCCATAACATCAGAGCCACTGTGAAACCACACCAGGGAAAGTTTCCTTTACCTAAGATGGCAGGAGAAGAAATCATCATTGACTACACTGACATGATTGACAAAGTAAGAGGATTCAGATATTTGTTAGTAGTAGTAGATGGATACACAGGTTGGCCAGAAGCTATCCCTTGCAGAAGAGAAGATGCAGACTCAGTGATCAAATTCCTAGTCACGCATTACATTCCATTACATGGATTTCCTAGGAAAGTGAGGTCAGACAATGGCAGCCATTTCAAGAACCATGACCTACGCACAGTAGAAGAGTCCCTAGGACTAAGACACAGTTTTGGAGCAGTTTATCATCCACAGTCTCAGGGAAAAGTGGAAAGGATGAACCAGAACTTAAAACAAAAACTCAGCAAAGCATGTGAAGAGACGGGCATGAAATGGGTAGACGCATTGCCTCTGGCTCTTCTGTCAATCAGGAGCTCCATTAACAAAGGGACAGGTTTCTCTCCATTTGAGCTCACTTATGGTCACCAGTTCCCAGGTCCAGGAGCCCTAAGTGTAGGAAAGGAAGTAGAGGTTCTGAGTTCGAAACCATACTTCCAGCAACTTAAGGGATTAGTGGCAGATTTTTCCACCCAGGTTGCAGAGGCAAAAGGGGGACCCGAGAAACACGAAGCGAACACTGCGGAGTTCGTCTGGCTGAAAGCGATCAGACCCAAGTGGCTGAGACCCAGGTTCTCTGGACCCCATCGGGTGATGCAGAGGACATCTCACGCTGTCCGCTTGGAAGGGAAAGGAGACATCTGGTACCACTGGAATCAGTGCGCAGTGGGGAAACCTCCGGGAAGGACCCTAGACGACATCATCACGGACGTGGTCCGCGCAGAGGAGGAGGAACCAGAGGACAACACTCCTATCACCGACCCAGAAGTCGCCATAAGCGGGCGGGCTGAAGAGGACGGCGAGGAACGGTCCTGAGGGAACGAGGCAGAGCGGGGTGGATCAACGCTTCCAGATGGCGTCTGTCTCCTCCACCGGAGGCTGGCGTGTGAAAGCTGTCATCATCCTCCTCGTGCTGGGCCTGCTGTACCTGTCCAAGGTAGCCCCGCTTGATGAAGCTGTGACCATTCCAACGACAGGTGGCCCAGACTCTGAGGGCAAAATCACACCAACGGGCCAATCAGTGCCTAGCGACAAAGACAGGTTGTTTCCAATCACCACACTAACATTCAGTACAATGAGAGAGAGACACAGAGAGAGAAGAAGGAGGAATGCCCCTCTCTCTGCTTACGAACCACAGAAGATTTCTTTTGACTGCCCAACTGCAATATGTAACTCACCAAACTGTGTTATTACGTACCCTGTGTTTTTAAGCAAGGGTGGCGACTACACGGTGTGGGAAGCGTATCCAGGGACGCAGTATCAGGAGTTCCGGGTCTCGTCAGGGATGGTAAGAATAACACTCAACACCATTGCAAATATGCCCCCAGAACTGTGGTGTAGCACGGCAGAACAGTTAAAATATGAGTCCCAGTGCACGGCACGGAAGCCAGATTACAAAGCTCCCAATTCGGGGGTCACTGGATGTGCATTTATTGAACCAGAGCATGAAACAGATTTTTCTAATTTAGGGGTCGCCGGACACGCCTCTATTAGAACATATATTGAACCATATCATGAAACAGGTTCTCCGGAAAAAGCCCTAATATCCACTCCACTTAAACAAACAGGAGAGGATGTAGATTCTTCAAAAAAGGCCTTAATCGCTCCACCTAAACTAACTAAAACCAATTCGGCAATGAGTTTAATGTTAGACTATGCACATGAACGCAATGTTAGCAACTGTTGGCTGTGCCAAAACATGCCAGAATCCGTACATTCTCCCATGTTTAGCCCAATTCCTTTCACGAAAGCGGACTACGGTTTAGTTAGCTGGAATGACATAGCATCCCGCATTGGAGATGAGGCCGAGGATTGTTACACTCCTTCGTATCCAATAAACTCTGAGAAACCTCTACAATACAAGGGTTTAATCTCGCTCATTGTTGAGACAGTAAATAAGGATTACCTGCCAGAGGGGTTCAAACAGTTGACGGTCCTAAGACTAATATATGTGAAGAAATATATTAACCTAGCTTTTGAATACAGATTCCAATTAGCTCTAGCCCAGACTAATTGCTCGGTTAACTTTACCAGTCCAATATGTACACTGCAACCACACACTCCATCTTTATTAGTTGAGGCTTTGGTAACAGTAGTGCCCTGGTTCGGCTCCAGAACAGTGGACTCAGTTGAGGTTAAAATACATGACTGTTCGCAGCCATTACCCTTAGGTAAGTCCCCTACCCGTGACTGTTCTGTCTATGTTCCCCCAGTTGTAGTACATGAGTGGAAGAATGTGTCCATCTGTTTCCAGAATGAAAGAGGATCTCTTACCTCTCCAGATGTGGGCCACAGCGACTGTAATACCGTAATAAAGGTGCATTTAGCCAGAACGCCCCTCCCGCAGAGGGTTTACTTAGTTTGTGGGGACCGAGCCTATGGCTGTATGCCTTATGACATTTTCTATGGCACCTGTTACCTGGCCTATCTAATCCCTTTAATCCGTAAAGTGAAGACTGATGAGATTGCAGCTATACTTCCCTCTCTACATAGAAACAGCAGGTCGATTACAGAAGGACAGCGGATGGCTAGTCTATTTTTACCATGGTACGGTATTTATGTTTCTCAGCAGGAAATTGTGGCGTTGTCCAAAGTAGTGGAAAATCACTTAAATGCATCTAACACAGCCATGTTAGCCGAACATAAGGAATTACAGGAGGTTAGGACTGTAGCATTACAAAATCGTATGGCACTGGATCTTTTATTAGCCGCCCAGGGGGGCACATGCAAGGTGATTGGATCTGAGTGTTGTTCTTTCATCTCTGATGCTACACCTGAGGTCATGGATATGGCTCATGATACCGCCAGGGGGATAAAAGAGTTGCATGAAACTCATGGGTTTACCCTTGGGGATTTAACTGGAACTTTTGGATCGTGGGGTGCGGGGTTGGTTAAATTTGCAGTGACCGTTTCAATGTTTATCTTAGTTGTGCTAATTGTGATAATCTGCTTGGTCACTGTAGTTAAACTAGCCATACGAAAGATGACCAAAACCGCCCTCCAGGCTCCACAGAGACTAGTGGGATATTCCACAGTGGATGACTCCGTGTTGATGTACGACGCCCAGCTTTCAGATCCGTGGGGCACAATCACGGCTTCTGCTCCATGGGGACCCCCACAAAATGAATGACAAGTTGATTAAAATTGACACTCAGAATGTAGAAGATGTATATAGATTTTACCTTTTCGGGTTTTTACACTACGCAATAAATGTCTGATTCTTCTTTTTCAGATTTTTAAACAATGTATTTGACTAAAATGAATGTATAGATAAGTGCCTTACTTTTGACTAAAGCGTAGTGAAGTAATGTTAAAGCTTGAGGACACTGCAATTTTGCAGATTACGGATTAATCGAATCACCACTGTGAATGCTATACTTTGAACTGTGAATTTCAACTGGACCTTTACAATCCAGATTTTATACCTCAGGTGGATTGCTAATAATCCTAAATGTTAAATGTGTTTTTACTATAATTGTCTTGAAGCAAATCTTTGAGATGCAAGCTATTTTTAAAGTTTGTAATTTGATGATTAAGGAGGACTAAATGATAAATGATAAAAGAGGTTATTTGGAAACATATATTTTACTATTTTCTTCTATATATTTTTTTGGTATGTTTATTTTTGTGCTATTGATGGACGATTTGTCTAAACACTGAGGATATATTTTGGTATTTCTACACGGTCATATGAAGTTGATATGTGGAGCCATTCCTGAATGTTTAAATAGTCTGAATCCCAGGTTATAATGTGAGTGTCTTGAAATAGTTGATCTCTTAAAATGAGACCAAAAGGGGGATTTGTAGAGTTATATTTGTATTTATTCATGTTAGCAAACTATGGATAAGCTTAAAATGGGAATAATTTGGGTGGAACTGTGAGCTGGATTTGGGGCCTGTTTGACATATGTTTTTGAGGACAAAGGAAGATGGGGGAAGGTGAGAGCATGTCTTGAGTTGCATTCAATTTAGATCTAGCTACAGTGATTGGGGAAGCCTAAGGTCTAAGGTGTCTGTGATATTTGGGGCGGCCAATCAATGATGTCCGAATGGGAGGATCTGATAACTCCTCCCATTGTCACAGAGTAGAAACACAGAAACACACGCGGTGTTCAGCCTCTTTCCTCTGGCTGGCTCACGTGCAGGTAAATTCGGGATCCCAAAGATTAACTGTATTGAATTTGTACTGTATTGATTGTATTGTTTTGTCATATTACCATTAAAGTAGATATTGTTTACTTGGTGGCACTGGATTTCTTCCTGTATTATAACCAGCTTCATAGGAACGCGCGGAGATTTGAAAAGCGGATCAGATATCCCTTTAAATCTCTAACAATCCTCATTAACACTAAGCCTCTCCTACCTGCTGTCAAACAGAGCCACCAGGTCAGTCCCAATCTTGGAGTCTTTAGGCTCACGTTGATTCCTCTGCTTTTCACTGATAAGTTGATAATATTCTTTAGTATGTCTTTCTGAAGTATCTTAATATCTTCTTGTCTGCTGTGTGAGGTAGGTAAACCTCTTCTTTCTGTTTAGGTAATAGTGTGTGATACTATATATATTGCAATGATCTACTTTGGAATGTAGCTTTTATTTTTCAGCTGCTAGGAAAGTATCTTTAAAAAGGAGATAATCTATACTCATTTTCAGGTTCATATGTAGTTCCTCTACTGTGACATGTCTCCATGCTTTAATGTTCAAAAAGCTCTTTATTTGTCTCATACGCAGCACCTCTTTTCACCTTCTGTCTGAAATCAGAGCCCAGTCTGCTCTGATTGGTTAGCTGGCTGGCTCTGCTGTGATTGGTGAATCCAAAAAGATGTCCCGCCCCTCAGCCTATCATGTACAATGTGTTGGAGTGCTTTCCAACAGAAGTGCGAGTGTTACGTAGTGATGTCACTGTGTGGGAGAGAAACACTAGTTTTGGACTTTAGCCTGCTGACCATTTACATGCACAAAAGCTTATAACCAGGGGTGCACATAACTTTTTTGCCCTGGTTCTCAAAGGAGCACCTGGAGATGTTGCTTGGTGCTCATCCTTAAAATGAAATAAATAAACCGGTCTTTATTTGTCAGACACACGGCACAGAACACACAGAGGTGAACACAGAACACACATGCAGAGGCGAACACAAGACAACATTAGCACGACCAGTAATCCTACAAACTGTCATCACTACCCTCCTGACTGTTCTCCTCACTGTCTTCCTCTCTGTCAGACATGGTAGCTGATGATGTAGGCCTACTTCTTTCTCTCTGGTTGAGTCTGCGATTAGCTGCTTGCATCCACAAGTCAACAGCTGGGTTTGGGTTGAAAGTCCAGTTTTAAAAGGATATGTTTGGTTACTGTCCTATAGTATACATTGGAATGATTTCAAACCTGTTTATCCCAATAATTATAAAGGAGTGCCTTGGCAATATGTGTTTACATAAATTGTGACCAAACCGTTTGAACTTAGACTAAAGTGAACTATCTAAACACTCAGAGTCCTTTATCTCACTGAGCTGTAGTTATCAGCCTCTCGGTCTGACTGGAGAGGACTCTCCCTCCACATCATTGTAGAAAACATCTTCTTCTTATATCCGTTAGAGCAGCTAGCACCAGATTCTAATAACAACAGCGCCAGTACCGGTGCACCCTCGCTCGCTCCCACGCTCACTCACACTTTGGCTGTGAGCTGCGGGCGCCAGACAAGCCAACATCCCCCATTTTCATCACTTACAGCGCCCATCGTACAGGGCAAATGAAACGTGTAACCGGGGTGAAAAGGGTGTTACATTTACTTAATTATGAATGTTGTTACATCAAGGCCGAAAATTAGGATGAGCACCAACAGTCAAAAATGTTTTTTTCCCTCCCAGAACTACCAGCGCAGCGCCTCCCCAGATCTGGCGCCCTAGGCGAAAATCAACGCCAGTGCGACGGGCTGGCCCTGAGTTCATATGCAACTCGCAAATATCTTTCTCTCTCTCTTCTCTCTCCTCTCTTCTCTCTTTTCTCTTCTCCCTTCTCTCTCCCTCTCTCTCAATATTGGTACGCAAATGCGCCTTTTTTCAAATGACCCGGTGCTCTTTTTTTGGCCGAGGTGCGCATGCGCACCAGTTATGTGCAGCCCTGCTTATAACACACTACAGGAAA